TTTGCCTTATATGGAAATTTAGGGCCATTAGGGCCACTAAATTTCGAGCTACCAACCAAAACCGTAATTTAAATTAAGTTTTGAAAACTCTTTCCAAATCTCATAACTAAACAAATTTTCTTACTTTACATGTCAAATCAAGCTTTCAAAACTCAATTCTACACTCAATTCAAAATTCAATTCAACACTCTATTCAAAAACCATAACCAAAAAAATTTTCTACACTCAAATCATAATTTCACAACTCACAAACTCAAAATACAACTCACACTCTCAAATCATATTTACAAAGCTTTACCAAACACAACCTTAATTTTTTTTGACTTTTTAAAATTATACCACCTTTCTATTTTTTTCATAAAAAAAAAGAAAAAATCACAAAAAAATATTAAAAAATTAACTTTTCATCAACCTTCTAAAACAAGGCATAATAATTAAAAACTCATCACCCCTTGCCTCACCATTGTAATAATTTCTGAAAAAATGATTTAGATTTTTTAAAAAGAGAGTTTTAATAGAGCATTAATTTATCTTTTTTTCTTCATATTTTGTCTTTCATCTTACTGTTTGTTTGTTTGTTTTTTTTTTTTTTTCTCTTTAATTTTGCGTCTTTTTTTTCTTGTCTGTTTGTTTTTTTTTTTTTGGTGTGCATCCTCCTATTTCTAGGATTTTACAATACAGTCCTGTGTGTTTGCTTGGGTTTGTTTATGACCTTATGGTTTTGCTATGGCTCTTGATTTAATTATGTTTAGAAGTTTGGTGCATTATTGCTAGGGTTCATGCATAATGTTAGGGTTTTGTTTTTAGGGCTTTAATTTTTGACTTACCCTTGTTTTGTCATGAGTTTCAATTGATGTTTTATGATTTTTTCAGTGCATTGTGTTATTGTTGGTTTCTTTGTTCTACTGTCTTCATATCTTTTATCCTGCTGCAACACTTATTTTCTATTGCTACATTTATTTGGTTTTGGGACTTGACCTAGAAATGTATGTATGCTTTCCCTAATCTTACAGTATTTGATACAATACTTTGGTTTTGTGAATTTTGGTTTTTCTAACCCTGTTGCACTAATTGTTTGTGCTTTGCTCTTATATTTCCTTTTGGAAAATTTACCCATAAGTCCTAGTTTTTGAAACGTTGAACCATTTAGTCCTAAAAGTTTTCTTATGCTCCATTTAGTCCCATTTTTACATCAACATGATGTGAATGATGTAAATGATCTGATGTTTCATTCTATAATTTCAAAATTTATTGAAATCTGATGAATATTAGATGTTTTTCATCCTATATTTTCAAATATTATTGAAATTTGATGAACATTAGATGTTTGAAATCCAATGTTTGTAACATGACTCTGATGTTATTAACATTGTATCTGATGTTATTAACATTGTAATGGGACCTTTCAGTCTATAAGAAAACTTTTAGGACTAAACAGTGCATAAGTTATTAATTTGGGATTTATTGGTGCATCCCCCTTTAAATATTTATGATTTAAATTTTTTGAATATTTATTTTGAAAAAAAAAATTTCCTTTGTAGTATTTTCAATTAAAAAATTAATTAATGTTATTTTCTGTTAATAATAATTTTTTTTTAATTGAATTTTAAAAAGTTTGGTTATGAGTGTTGATCAGAATTTTCAATAGTGTGGAAGTAGTGTGTTTTGTTATGAGTTATAATAATTTAAATTAAGTTTTGAAAACTCTTTCCAAATCTCATAACTAAACAAATTTTCTTACTTTACATGTCAAATCAAGCTTTCAAAACTCAATTCTACACTCAATTCAAAATTCAATTCAACACTCTATTCAAAAACCATAACCAAACAAATTTTCTACACTCAAATCATAATTTCACAATTCACAAACTCAAAATACAACTCACACTCTCAAATTATATTTACAAAACTTTACCAAACACAACCTTAATTTTTTTTGACTTTTTAAAATTATACCACCTTTCTATTTTTTTTTCATAAAAAAAAAAAGAAAAAATCACAAAAAAAAATTAAAAAATTTAACTTTTCATCAACCTTCTAAAACAAGCCATAATAATTAAAAACTCATCACCCCTTGCCTCACCATTGTAATAATTTCTGGAAAAATGATTTAGATCTTTTAAAAAGAGAGTTTTAATAGAGCATTAATTTATCTTTTTTTCTTCATATTTTGTCTTTCATCTTACTGTTTGTTTGTTTGTTTTTTTTTTTTTTTTTTCTTTAATATGTGGCCGGCTCATTAGAACTGCACTGTAACGGTTCTAATTAGAATTCTCCAGCAGATCTGATAATTTCTCATCAGAAGTATTGTAGAGCTCTAATTAGAGCTGCTACAATATAGCTCTAATAAACTGTTTAATTGTAATAAATAAATAAATAAATAAAACAAAATTAAAAAAAAAAAATTAGTATTCCATTAAAAATCTCTCTTTAAAGCTCTAAATCATTTCTCATAGGAGAGGAGAAGTAGCCTATTGTCAATTATGACACCAACTACTACACGTACAACCGTCAATCTCAAACAATCTTAATATATGAACACAGACTCGGAGGGAGAAACCGTCAACCTATTAAAAGTGAACGTCCAGTCAACACGCTCTGTTCCTTGTCTCCGTACTCAATCTCATATCATATCTACTCACGGCGATAGATAGAGAGGTAGATTTAGGGAGAGAGAGTCAAAATCTTCTTCAAAGCTCCACCACAACCCAATCAAATCTCAACCCATCCCTCTCTCTGAGCTCTACCAACTCCCCAAAACTCTTCAATATCTTCTTCTTCATGGGCATTTCTAGGAAATCATGACCAAAGCAGCCAATTTCATGAAAAACTTCCTCAAACCTTTCAAATCTGATAAAGGTATTTGTATACATATCTCTTTTGCATCCAATTCTACATATATGTTGTGTTCATCTCTTTCTCTTTGTGGCTCAATTGACGAATGAATGAATCAGACGGAAACAAAGAAGAAGAGTTAACCAAGATCGCCGCACAAGAACAGAAGCAATTCCTTTTCGAAACCCTAGTTTCCGCTACCAAAGGTTTCCACCCCGATCACAAGCTCGGCGAAGGCGGTTTTGGCCCTGTTTACAAGGTACAATTTCACTCAATTCTGTAACTCTACATGTATTTCTATATATATATATAATTGTTGGGATTTTTTTTAGGGGAAATTGGATGATGGAAGAGAGATTGCTGTGAAGAAGCTTGCACAGAGCTCGGGGCAAGGAAAGAAGGAGTTTATGAATGAGGCGAAGCTGTTGGCTCGCGTTCAGCACCGTAATGTTGTGAATTTGTTGGGTTATTGTGCACACGGTGCAGAGAAGCTGCTTGTTTACGAGTATGTAGTTCACGAGAGTCTCGACAAGTATCTCTTCAGTAAGTCCTGCACTGCTTTTGATCTTTTCTTGATGGAACCATTCAATTCTTATTTGTGTGGAGATTAAATTTAGGGCACCATAATTGAATTTTGAACTTGTTGAACTATAAATTTTCAACTACCTAATTGATTTTAGCCGTCATGGTTAGGTGTTAAGTTTTCAAACATTGTTTGGTGTAAGCAAGCACGAAAAGTTTTTAGGCTGTCTTTGGTTGAAGAATTTGATGAGAGAAATGAAATGGGATGGGAAAAAGAAATGCTATCCTACGCTTTGTTTGGCTATAATAGAAAACACAAGGGAAAAGCAAGGAAAAAGACACAAGGGAAAAGCAAGGAAAAAGAAAGTGAGTGAGAAATGTAATCTCACTTTTTGTTTTATATTATGTTTTAGCTCAACCAAACATAGCTCCGGATTCTAATCCTATCAATTCTTTTCCTTTTTCTTTTTCCCTTTCTCATTCCATTTCCCTCATCAAATCCTCCAATCAAACAGACCCTTACGTTGTGTTTGGTTGAGGGATTTGAGAAGAAAAAGAGAAAAAGTGTGTGAAACTATGTGAAATGTAAATATATTTTATTCGCATTTCATCTACTTTTTCCTTTTCCTTTTCATTTTTCCTTTTCCTTTCTAAATCCATTCTCAAATCTCCTAATCAAATACATCGTTAGCTATATTAGGTTGAAGGATTTGGAGAAGAATTTAGAAAGGGATATTTTTTATAAGAATTTAGCTTAATTATGGGTGAAACTAATGCTATGTTTGGTTGGAGGATTTGAAGAAAGATTTGGAAAGAGAAAAGGAACAGGTGTGTGAAATTATGTGAAATTTAAGTACATTCTATTCATATTTCACCTATTTTTTTCATTTCTCTTTCTAAATTCCTCTTCAAATCCCCCAACCAAACACAGCATAAGTGAAATATTTCACCGTCCTTTTCCTTTTCCTTTTCCTTTCTCTTTCCTTTTTCAAATCTTTCTCCAAATTCTTAAACCAAATACAGCCGTCAGGAAAAGCATCCTAGGAGATTGACTATGCTTTGTTTACCTAACCATCCATCATAAGAAATATTGCTTGACATTTGCCTTTTGAAAAGTACATAACCTTGTAGCAGAAACCATTTTTTGAATTTATGAGAAGGAAATGAACCCATTCTGAGAACAGAGATTGGTTGGTCTCAAACAGCCTTACATGTATTATTTTCATCTTCATAATACTACTCAATATTGAACTTTGCTTGATCTGCGGTGATCTCAACAGCCATGATATTTATTTTCTCCTCTTGAAATGAATCAGATTCAGCTGCTATAGCTTAGATGTTCAATTGTGTGCAAAGGCATAGAGCAATGGTGCAATCTGCTAGAGAAAAAATGGGTAGCACAAACCCTCTATATCAAAGCTGCAGATATTGAAATTCGTCTAATTGCTATTCATTGGGGTTAAACAAACACATTCCAAATACCCTGTGAAACGTTATAGTGTAAATAGGAGCAAAATGCTATTCAATTTTCATTTTCTTAAAAAATGATCTATGTTGAGTGGCTGTCAAACTTTTGAAGAATCTTTTTTGATATTGCACATAATTGTTTATTGAAGTCTTCATCATACAAACCAAGGAATAATCGTGTGAAATGGGTGATTGAAAATGAAATGTATGTTTTGTGCCTATGTAACTCGGCATCTGTAAATTGGTTTTGCTTCAAAAGGCTGTTCAAAATTGGAAGGGAACACACCTTAAGTTGCTAGTCTTGTTCTATTGGAGAATCTGGATATTGCATAAATCCCTTTTTGGCATCATAGAGGATGAAAATTTTGATTTTAGTCAAGGTTTTTTTCCCCACCGTCTTGTAAGGCATTTTGACAATTAAACCTACATTTAATAGGTTTTCTGTTTTATTCCTTCTGGATTTGAAAAGGTCAGATGATACACTTTAAAGTTACCAAACCTAGGTTGAATAACTTCAAACTGTGTACATAGTAATCATATTAATAGATCTTTATTTTACAGAAAAATCTATATTTCTGTGAGTATCTTAAAACCATGAATCTTCTTTTGAAGAATTCTCTTGGATTTGGCAGTGCTGAGATTCTTAAAATTCATATGAGTAACAGTCACTAATTCACACTTCAATGATGTTTTATCCATTCTTTTCCGTTTGTTCAAATTTTCAATTGATTGGTAAGGTTATTATGTAGAATATAGTGTTGCTCTTTGTTTTTCTATGTTTTTTTATTCTTTAGTAATACACTATGTTCTGTCTTGGTCTTCTGTTGGACTGGAAGGAGTAATAATCTATTGTTTCTAGCAGCCATAGTTGTCTCGTCACTGCTCTTTAGTGTCATTGAGTCCCTTTGTAAACTTGGAACATTTAAGGATATCTTTACACTAAAATCCCTAGGAGTCCAAAATGTTATTCTGAGTAGTTGAGGAGCGGGGTCGGCTGCTACTAGTTATATTTATTGCCTTGTTTTGGTCAGTCCTACTCGTTTTCTCTTGTGCCTTGATCAGATAACTGCTGAAATTGGGTGGCGCAGTCAGTTTGTCAGTTTTGATACTTGCAGTTTGGGAATGATCTCATCGCCTGTGGTCATATATTATACGTATGTTTATTTAATTCTGTGCTTTGTCATCTTGCATGTCACCATGTGATAGAAACAGCCAATGAGACTGTAAACATATATTATATGCATGTGATAGTGACCTTATGTGTTGAACTTTGAATGTCTTGGCCAATTCCAACTCTTTTATGGTAACATTTCATTCAATGTGGATGATATTCTTAATTGAATAGATGTGATGTGTTTTCTTTTGTATACAGGTTGCCCCCCTTTAGTGTCTCTTTATTTTATATGGTTATCTGTATTTATCCAAAAAGTCAAATAAGTTTGAATAGAACGGAGAGAGAAGATTAATAATGGAAGTGATGCTATTTGTGATGGTTTTGATTCAGAGTCTGGTAGAGATGTGCTTGATTGGAAGCGGAGGTATGACATTATCACAGGCATTGCCCGGGGCTTGCTTTACCTTCATGAAGGCTCACACAATGTAATCACCCACCGTGACATCAAGGCTAGCAATATCCTACTAGATGATAAATGGATCCCAAAAATTGCTGATTTTGGCATGGCCCGCCTCTTCCCTGAAGATCAATCGCATGTGAATACCCGTGTAGCTGGCACCAAGTATGTTGCCAATCACATGACCTTTCTTACTTTTCAATAGTAGTTTTAGCAATTGGGTCGAGCATAGTGTCACTAAATCCAACTCCTAAACTGACTGGTATGGTTACTAATAGATGATTGTACTTGGAAACAGTGGGTATATGGCTCCTGAATATGTCATGCATGGACGTCTGTCTCCAAAAGCAGATGTATACAGCTTTGGGGTTGTGGTTTTGGAGCTGATAAGCGGTCAGAAGAACTCAAATTTCAACCCTAGTTTCGGTGCTCAAAATCTTCTAGAATGGGTAAGCACTTGATCAATCTTCTTCAACAAAATTTTCCTGTGATCCTATTGTTTTTGCTGTCCTTCTAGCAGCCTATGGTTGTAAGCTTGTAATTAGAACTTGTAAGCAGAGAATGGTCAACATCATTTTGAGCTGACTTTTTACCTGCACATTTGACATTTGCCGTAAAGATTGAAGTTCTGAGTGGAAACTTCATAACCAAAATTTCCAAGTGACTACAAATGGTGAAAATAAGTGAACCTTGAATTGACAACCCACCTATCATTCCTCTTCTTTCATGAAAAGGTTCTGCTACAGACACTACATTTTTTACTGCATTTTCCACCACCTACTCATAAATTCATCGCTATCATGCAGGCATATGAGTTGTACAAGAAAGATAGGAGCTTGGAGGTTATGGATCCAACATTGGCATCATCATCAGCCGTACTTGAACAGGTAGCAATGTGTGTACAGATTGGATTGTTGTGCACCCAAGCTGATCCACGAAATCGACCCTCCATGGATCGTGTGGTGGTAATGCTGTCGAAGAAGCCTGGCAGTGCCATCCTAGAGGAACCAACAAGGCCTGGATTCCCTGGGTCCAGGTATAGATCGCGTAGGTCCAATGCATCGTTATCGTTCACTGCTGGAACATCAGGTGAATCCAATTCCCAAACATCCAGCTCCGCCACCAATACAAACAGTCAAAGTGCCTCTGCAACTGCAACTGCAACTGCAACTGCAACTGCAACTCGTAGCACATCACATAAAAGCACGCGATCAGACCCTCACGGAAAACGTCCCATGCAAGGTTAGGCTCACATTCATAGGTGATTTTGCTTTTTTTTTCTGTGTATAGTAGGTTTGTGTTGTTTTTTATTGATATGTATTTTTGGCTTTTTAATTTTTTTAATTTTTAACATATAGAGTATTAGATGAAAGCCAAGGTGTGGTTAGCTTAGGATGACATGTTTTTAATTTGTATACATGACATCACAGAGAGAGGACGTTGAATCAAATATGTTCGTGCAAAATGCAAGTCTATGTTGAATCTGGGAATTGGTATACCGTACACAATTGTCTCTTTGGTTTGGGGCGCTATGTATTGTTATTGGTATGAAAAGTTTGAAATTCTACTATGTATCAATCAATATTTAAAACGTGAAAATGAAAATATTAATTAAATTTTGCATGCCAAGCCAAACAGTTACCCTACAGCTCACAACGATGATCATAACCGAGCTAGCTGGACCTTATCTGATTATAGCAGAGGCGGTTTAACTATTTTGGGGGCACCAAGGCCAAATTTCCTCCTCTGAACCCCTGATTTATCCACACAATTTCCTCCTCCGAGCCCTTCTTACCTGTCAAAATCATATTCAAGAATTCAAGGGACAGAAATTGTGTGAATATAATATTACTGTTAATAAAATTTATTATTTTTTTTATTCACCAATAGCGATACAATCTGAACAGGCCTAATTGCAACAACGCAAGTTTTGCTCAACATTTTTTAGAACTTTTGACTGTATATGAACTAAAATTTGCTAATTTGAATTAACTACAAATAGAGCCTCAACATTGGATTCCAACAAATCGAGCAATTAAAATTCTGTTTTTAATATATATAAATTGTATATTATAATTTCAGGTAAGTGATAAAGTTTATGTACATTAATAACTGAACCCAAAAATTTTGTCATGAATTTGTAATTATTTTATTAAATAACCACTATGTTGTAATTTCCCCTAATTGTTGAAAAGTCTAAAATAATGAGGGTACTAGGCGTTAGATTGAGTGGATATTTTTTGTTAGTGAGAAATCCACACTTTATAAAATAGTTTAGTAAGAAGTCCTTTTATTAATTTTGGAGAACATTTTGTTTTCAATTTTACTCCTTAATTTATCTGTTGACTTTTTTATCTGTTGAATTTTTGTTGACTATCTGTTCAAATAGATATCTATCTATTCAAGTTATTTTTTATCTGTTCAAATTTTTTATCTGTTCAATTTTTTAACCTATCTGTTGAATTTTTATAACTTATTTTTTCTATCTGTTCAAATTCATATCATTTTTAAACTTTTTGCTCTCTATCTGTTCTTTTTTTCATTTCTCTTTTCTCACTCTATCTACTTCTCTCTCCACTTCTCTTTTCTCTCATTATGTGTTTCTCTCTATCTGTTGAAAAAGAAAAAAAAATTCTCTCTGTTGTAATCATCATCAATAACCATCACCACAACAACAATCTCTTTCCTCATCATCAACAACTACAACTACTACTACTACTACCAAAAAAAAAAAATCTTATCTACAAAAACAATAACAAAAATAAATAAATAAATTGAATAGATCTAAACAAATCAGATCTGAGAAATGCACACAACAACAGCAAATAAGATGTGCAAGGGTTTTTTGCAACTCTTTCAATATCGCACAATACTTTGTAATTTTTAGCTCTCGAAAAAGAGAAAAGGGATATTTGTTCAACAAAACAAAAAAAAAAAAGGAGGGAAAAAAAAATTATCGTTAGAATGATCAACAACAAAAACAAAAACAAAGAAAAAATAATTATATGTTTGTTTTATTTGTTCAACAACAACAACAACAATACAGATCTGTTGATCTGATGATCAATGTAGATCTCTCTCTTATCTGTTGAACCAGGGCTTCCCTTCATCTTCTTTATCATCATGATTAATGAACATGTTGTCCCCTTCTTCACTTCCCAGATCCACAGATGAACATGTTCAACAGAACAATGAACCCAAAGTTATTCATATACAAATACATAATTACATGTGTGCGCAAACATGTATTATCAATACAAATTACTACTTGATCTCAACTATCAAAATCTACAGATCTATCAACAAACAAGAACACAAAAGACAATGAAAATCCAATAGCCACCATTCTAAATCTAGGGCAGATTAGATAACTAGAATAAATTTCTAGAACTCTACAAACAATACACAAATCCGGCAAACACATATCAAAGAACATGAAAATCCAATGATAGATCTCGTAACTTAGAATATATATGAATAACTTTGGATCCATTGAATAACTCAAAATATATTAATAGTCGAGAGCGGATTCATCGTAAGGACAAAGGAGGAGAGACAGCTGGCGACGGCGACGACGCAGCGGAGAGGCTCCAATGGCTTCTTCAAAGACGAAGATCTTGGCCTAGAAGTACTGCTCAACAAGAACTTGGAACTTAGAGGGCTTCGGAGAGAGAGAGAGAGAGAGACATACTAGTCTTGCAATACCTGTCTCACACCAGCAGCAACGACGGTGACGACGAGCGAGGCAGATCGGGGTTGGGCCCTCCCGGTAATGGAGAATGATGAAGATGAATGCGATCTACCTAAGGAGAAAGAGAGCGAGTACGACAGCGATGATTGGAGGAGGAGTCGGAGAGGAGCGACGATTGACAAGAACCACGAGAGCGGCGGTGTAACATTGCTCGAGGGGTACCCATGGGTGTTAAATAGTTTAGACCCTCAATTTTTTTTCCATCTAGTCTCACGAATGCAATGTAAAACGTAGATGAGAGTCCAGGTTTGGCAACTTTGATAGAAAATCCATTTTTATTGCAAAACATTTGCTAGAAATAGACTACGTTATTAGATCTCAGAGTCATCACCTAATATTTTGAAAAAATTAGGAAACCCCTGACTTGTGCCACGACCACTGTTCGTCGTAACCAAGGATGCTTGGTTCAGAACCTTAGATATGAAAGGGGAAGGTTATTAATTAAACGCCTCCACTCACCCGATCAAAGATCGGCCTTTACTAAGCAATGATATGAATTTTACATGCTCTATATGTTCATCCAGTTATTTAATAAACACTAAAATTACTATGTGAAGCAAATAAGTATAGACTATGTCATTTGTTTTGGAACAATTTGATTTCATGTATTTTAAAAATGTTTTGAATAACGTGCTCAAACATAGAAAAATGAATTTTGTAAACATGAAAATCAATTCTATTCCAAATCAAACAACACAACCTTCATCCATTGGTATGCATTAAGTTATATCAAATAAGCACATAACCACATGGTAGAATGTGAAACATAGTGAGAAAAACACACACAAGCGGGATGTTAAAACATAAAAACTTATATATTTACCGACGTCCTACAAACAATTACAAAATAAAGTTAATAAAACATGTATGATCCTATATACAAGATTTTAATGCAATTCATTCACGATATGCAACTGGTGATTTGACTTCTAATATATAACATGTAATTCATATCAAGAACGTGAAGTTGTGCACAAAATCACGTAATAATCGATTAAACCACCAAATGCAAACTTAGTCAAATCAAGATGCATGAAGCATGGATGTATAACATGGATATAATGACAAGCAAAACATACTACATATGTACAAATAAGGAAAGCGAGTAAAAGAATAGAATAGAAAGAAATGGGGTGGAGAATTATTACAACATAATAATTGCATATCTGAATAAGGGAAGAGAGAAAGAAAATATTACAACAAGATATATCCTCAGAAATCTCTCTTAAATTAAAAGAAAAACAGAAGCTTCAGGAGACTTTGGAGACCATAAAAGACTGTTTTGCTCAACACCGGGAGGCTATTGGGTTCTGTCCAGGAGAAAGTGGCTGGCCGGCAAAAAGAGGATTGCCTGGCCAAAAAAGTAGTCGGCCCGCCAATAGCCAATAAATTAGTCGGCCAGCCAATTAGACCAGACCAGAAACTTTGTTTTGTTATAATACCAAACAAAGAGCAAACAAAGGGTATGTGGGTGGCTTAACTCACCACTTCCAATTAGGATATAACAGTTTATGACATAAAATCAAAGCAAGAAACGCAATATAGGAAAGAAAATACAAGAAAGTAAAAGTGTTCAAAATCCACATTCCAAGGAAAGGACTTGATTGCTAAATTTCTTTTTAATCACCCTCAAGTTTAGGAAATGTGTTATCAATTTTTAGTTTAAAAATTCGAAATTCTTGCTAGAATGGTGTTTTTGGGTGGTTTAACAGTGTATATGGGGGGGGGGAGTTATATAACTCTCTATTTTTCTCCCTTTCAACAACACTCACTCTCTTTTGATCAAAGCTCTTGAATATGGTTATAACAGAATTTTTTAGATTATTTTTGATGTATATAACTTGGTATATTAGTGTATATTTGGAAGCTTACAGCTCAAAGCTTCAACTTCTATCTTTTTCTCTCTATCTCTCCTTTCTTAATCTATTCTTTCTCTCTAATTGATTCTCCTCTCCACACATTCTGATCCTCTCTATCTCTATAAGCAATCAGGGAAGGCGGAGAGGAAAAAAGACAATTTGGGAGACAAGGTTGATGGGATGACAATGGGTCAAGACTTTAGATACTCCCTTTTAGGAAGAAGACAATCACTCTTTTAATAATGGAGGATAATGGAGGATGAGGGCTGCATCTCGTGTATGAATGGATCAACAAAAGATCTGAAATGGCATGACCCACACGCTTTTATCAAGAATTCTACTAAAATTGTCCTACTCTTGGGAAAATTAGTCGACCAGTCAAAAAGTTGGCTGGTCGGCTACAATTCATGCACTATTTGGCTGACCGACTACTATTTATGCTGGCACTATTCATTGACAATTTTTTTTTAATTTTTTTTTATAGGGAAAGTAGGGTTTTTTAGCAAAATTATCGAAACTATTTGTAAAAGGAATATTTTGAAAAAAGAGAGTTTTAAACGGGTCTAAAACACTTGGCCAAGACAAGTTTGAGGTTAGGAATGAAGCACAAATTTCATCTTTCTTACTGAGAA